ATTAAAGCGCTCGAGCAACCGACATCCGTCAATTATCCAGATTGATTCCTTCGACCCCTAAAATATCACACTGATAAAGTGGATAATCCAAGTTAAATTGATTCGCCAAAGTAATACAGTTTCAGTGGCCCCTAATATTAATTAAATTCAGCACCAAATTAAATCGGTATCATATCTCGCCTTAAGCGGCCTAAAGCATTTTAATAATCCACGCTTAACATTAAAGCTTCAGAATCTCCTGAAGAGCACACCAAATAACGGAATTTTAAATAAAAGTTTGCGAAAAACGAACTATGCCGCAGCTTTAAGTATCATCCAAATTTTAGCGGAATGCATTAATGCAGCTTGTAAATTGTTTTTTTTATCATAGAGTAGTCGCTTTAAAAAAATTTAAATATTTCAGTTTCCTTTCCAAATGGTTTGCTGTCAAAAGCCTGGACAAAATCTCTAAAAAACCCTGTAATTGAAGCACATCCCAAGCCAGATAGTTCGATTAGCTGGAAATGAGGTCCGGCCGCAAAATCGTCAATTTTTTCCGAAAATTCAATCATCCATCGGCCCTAATCGTTTATAACATGCTGCCAAAGTTAATCGCGCAAAAACTGCGAAACTGTCGTCCATTTATTGCGATAAAATCAAAACGGGAATAAACTGTTATTACGCTCTGGACATGACCGAAACTACCACTCGGTCCTGGTATTTGAATTTATCGCCTCCAGCACCAAAGTATTGGAAGATTTTAATGAGGATCGGACTTATAAAGCATAGTTAATTAACGTCGTTTTACACTATAAAGGACCAGTACCATTATCGAAGTCAATTCGCTTTTATAACTGAATTAATTAAGAGCCATAAAATCGATGTTGAGTTTGGTTTCAGTTAACTTCAGTTATTGCGCTCTCGTTCTTTGATGGTAGCGACTAATTTTCTAGTTTAGACGTTGTTGAGGCTTCCTTTGCAACAAATGTGGGGAGATTTCTAACGTGATGGACATAGAAGACCATTTTTGATCAAAGTGTACATTTAGAATGTAATTTGAATGTTTCCTCAAAAACAGAAATAACTATCAACATAGGGAAAGCTTGAAATGTCTGAATTGCTTTGGTTCAGGTTCCAGATAAAGGAAAAGTATGCAAATGCAACTTGAAATAATTAAAAGCCATTGAACAATGGAAAAATTCACTGAATCGAATTCAGTCAGCTTGAATATTCTCTATTTAGTTCTTCTGGGATTAGTGAAGTTGACTGGAGAAATAAGAGCTTCGGCTCTAAATGTTCGGTTTAATTTATCATCCACTGTCAGAATCATAATTTTACAGTGTCACGTTGGATTATTTTTCTGCACTTCAACTCAATGTAAACTAATCGACCCAACAAGGTTTTCCATCAATAAAAACGTCGCTTTAAATTGAGAATTCCTTTATTCGAGTGAAAGCCAGCGGGGACGGATGATTTGTAAATATTTGCCTGCAAAGCGGGATGTTACACAGGAAACAATTTGTCCACTCGTCTATCGCTAATTATTCCCATCTGCAGCAATTATAAATACAAATTATTTGATAATCAAAAATCGATATTTATTTGAAATAATTCCCCGATTCATTTAAATAATGCAAAATTTAATAGCATGTTCACTATATCTCTGATATAAATTGCTCAACATTTGGACCCACTTTGGGACTGGATAAATTCTGATTGCGGCCAGCGATTCTAATTCTCTTTTAAGCGTTATTCAGTGCAACTCTTTTCTGGTCAGTGCGAGTTTTTGCAAAAAGTTAGTGCTATAAATAAAGTTTCTACAGGATGGCAAATGAAATAATGTAAAATTGGTGAAAGTTTCACGTATTCTCAGTTGAACAGAACACTGTTTTTTTGTATTTAAACACCACAAGCATTAATATGGACATTAATATCTCCAAAATATTTTGAAATTTTCAACCGTCTCGCTTATTTACAGAGTGGCATAAAAAAATAACTTTTTTGGTCTTGCAGTGATACAGTTCGCTCTTCCTTCTCTTGAACCGATTTTGAAAATCTAGGTCTCATGTTAAAGTTGTTGTTGGACTTGCGAAAAAACCGTTAAAGTTGCATGAATTAACGAACTATTTCAAACTGAACTTCACTTTAGCTGAAAGTCTGCTAGAATCACAGATTTCGGAGGTTATTCCGATTTGGAAGTCATTTTTCATGCAACCGTGTATATCGAATTTTAAACATGAGCTCTTAAAAACCGGTAGGTTTGTTATGATGTCGATTTTTGAGAGATAAAAACTGACGCTTTTAATTCTTTTAAACGCGCATTAACACGCAAAATATTGAAAATCTGACCAGCGAGCTCTACTCTACTCAAGAGAAATCTTGAAAATGGGCAAATCAATTTTTTATATGTCACAGATAAGCAAACTATAAACAAACCTACCAAAAGCACTTTTGGCTTGTTCTTTGTTTATAAACCTTGAAAAAGTAACACATTTTCGAGATTTCCTTCAAATTTCTAACAATTTCAGGAAGTTACAATACTATTAAAACCTCATGAAAGGTGAGATTTTAAGTGTCCCAATTTTTCAAGCTCCTGTTATCCAGAAGGAGATTTTCTGCTTGGCTCTCATAAGTTATTAGTCAAAGCAGCACGTAAACTTCTTAAACTATTGCATAAATTATCGCATATTTCATAATGCACCGTTCAAAATGTGTCCCATCTAAACTCTGACCGCAATAATGGCCGTAATTTTACGCGAACTAAACACGTTATAATCGAATTATGTTTCATTTATCGTCCAGTGAGTTTCTATGGAAAAATAGCGTATGTGAGCAATGATTTGCAATCAATGGCTCCCAATCATGGTCATAACATCCATGGAATGATAGTCTGATATATTGTTATTTAAATGAGGACATTCATAGCAATGGATCGTGCTACGTGCTCTATTCGATGGGATTTTCTAGCAACAATAGAGCAATAGCAACTACAGCTATTAAATTTGATCAGGGCAAGTGCAAAAATCCATCAAAAGTAAAGGGAATCGCCCGAAGGGATAGAATGAGAAATGAAAGCGTAAGAGAGGAACTAAAATAAAAAACATTGCAAAAAAGACGACTCAAATGGTTTGAACAACTACACAGAATGCATGTGGGAAGACCAGTGATTTGGGAGGTAAAAGTATAAAAGAAAATAAACATTCGTCTGGTTTGGCTGCACTTCTCCATACTGAGCAAACAGTTTATTGTGTTAACTGGAATTTCAAGAGCCAGTTACACGTGTTCGACATTCATTCAGCAATTGAACTTGCACAACTTCAAAGTGCTAAATCATTACTTGAACTGAAACTTTGGAATACCTCTTGAAACTGTCGAACAAATGCATGCCTCCAAGTTCCCATATTGATTTGCAGAATGATTTCGACATGTGTTGTGTGCACTTAACACAGTTGTGTTTGGTTCAGTTTAACCACAGACTCTTGGTTGGACTTGCTCGAATTGTAAGAGGCTTTTTGGATGTTGCGCAAATAATTTCTTTCAGATGTTTCGCAAGCAGGAGCCACTTGCATCTTTGAGATCAAAACTCAACAGTTGGCAACGAAACCGTTTTAATAAAGTGTGAAAGAGTTTAAACTAATGGGTTTTTCGGGTTTTTAGGCCGTCGTTCGGTAGAATTTCTTCTTGACGTTTCGCAAGCACGAGCCACTTGCATCTTTGAGATCAAAACTCAACAGTTGGCAACGAAACCGTTTTAATAAAGGGTGAAAGAGTTGAAACTAATGGGTTTTTCGCGTTTTTAGGCCGTCGTTCGGTAGAATTTCTTCTTGACGTTTCGCAAGCACGAGTGGCTTGCTTCTTCAGGTGTGGTTAACCACTTGGATCCAGAGCATCAAAAATAGAGTGAACTGTTGCATTGCATTACCGGCTTGCATGTCTACATTGCTGAAGTAGCCGATATCCCCTGACACACTCGTGCATTTAATATAGTTACCTGATATTTGCCCTGCTATCAGTAATTAACTAGAGTTAATCTGCTAATTTCACTAACTTTCAAGAGCCATTAGCTAAGTGTATTCGCACTCGGGACTTTAGCAAACGTAATATATACTTATGTACTTAATAATATGGCAAGAGGGCCAGGTAATCCAATGCACTTTGCTCTTATTCGCTCGGGATATTTATTATTACCAAGAATCTTAGTTCAACGGAAAATTCCCATGGGCTTGTTTGACAAATACCAACGTAAAGTCTGTAATTCCCTTTATTCTGCAAAGCTCGTTTTATTTATATTGTAATCCCTTTCAGAACGAATGTAAATTTTCCGTTATCATTGAAGGCCCAGTAACATTTTTAACCCGGTAGATTGCTATTTTTCCAATGTGATTGTGCCAAAACAATCACAAATTAAGCATCTATTAATATAAAATTAATTAATTGAGTATATTAAAAAATGTATTTTTGAACCAAGCATTATCCTCACCTGAAATGAAACTTCCAATCAAGAACACTATAAATTAAGTGCTCTGGAGCCCAAAACAACTTTTTTAACCTTTTTAATTTGTTAGTATTGTCAGTCGAGAGATTTTTGTATTGCGACCAGTAAATGAAGGCAATAAACCCAATAATTGCAAATTTCACCAAATAGCGTTTCCGATCTCTGCAAATATTCCCGAGCAACAAATGTTAACGCAAAGTTTTTCCTATGACTAATTTCAAACATGAGTTTCAGAATTTTTCGATGTTCGTTGGTTCTGTAAATTAAATAATGTTTTTTAGTCCTGTCCCGAATGAACAAATGTATATTTGCTTCAGTCCAGAATGCAAAACGGGATCTGCAAAAATAATTAAATTGAAACCAAATGGGATTATTTAGGAATATTTTATTAAGTCCGATGAAAAACCATCCTGGTGTTTTTCCCATTCCGAATTATGAATATTTACCAAATGGACCAAAAAAAGAAAGGATTTGATTTAGCAAATTTGCAGCAAAAAATTTTGATGAATTGTTTCTTCGTTTTTAGGATGAAAGAATGTTCGCTCCAGCTCCGGATGTTACGAGGAGAATGGAATCAACTGCGAACTTGTCCAAACCAGAACCTCCCGGCTCGCCTCCTTACTATCGATCCACCTCAGCATCCAGTTCAAATTCCGCATCATCTAGGGGTAAGTTCTAAGCTGAACACCATCGATCGAAACCTTAAAAAGTTAGTAAAAGTGGTGAATTCAGAACACAATAGAGCTCAGTGAATAGGAGATGAAATATCTGCTTGACATATGGAATAACGTTGCCAAAGAGTACAAATTTGCATCTGCATATACGAAATAGGAGCAATCGACAACATAAAGATATCAATTCAGACAAAGGTGTGATAATTTTTCGTCAATTTTTGCTCATTTCTCGGAAGCAAAATAAGCAAGAACGCTCATTTTTATCATTACAGAAAGAACTAAATGGAGTTTTTAGAAAGTGAACCACCGATAAAGAAATGTTGGCAGTTTTCTCAAAAAACTCTTGATTTCAAGAAGTTTTAGATTGGCGTGAGTTGCAAAATCGACTCAAACATGACGCTGCTTTTTTCAAGCCTCATTCCTTCATTCAAGTTTCTCAAGCCCCATTTAAGCCACATAATTTATTGTGGCATCGTTGGATAGAGAATTAAAAACACGATTCAATCATAAGAACATAAGTGAGGAAATTCCAGTAGTTTTTACCAAGGCTCAAACATTGAGCAGCGGCGGATTCAGCTTTCAAGTCTGAGGTAATGGAAATTCAGTCTTTTGTTACCTATGAAATTAGAAAAAATTATCGTTAGTCGACATGAACTAGGCAGCACAAAAGAGGGTCATGACAATGTTGAATTTCCGATTTTCTGTGAAAATTGCCAATATTTCCCTAGACATCTTTCTTTAATTATCCGTCCAGTTGTGCAGAAATAAATAAAAGAAAAGAGAAAATATGTTCGACTTCCATTTAGAACCTTTTCCATTTGAAACACGGGATCAGCTAACAGATTTGTGCCATTTGTTTATCATCTTTTTCACTACAAATACGTACATTATAAAAGGCAAATGGGCTTTTACTGTGCATGGAAGCCAAACAAATGTTGCTTTTTTAGTGCAACTTTAGCTCCAACAATATTGCGAAAAAGGGCCATTTTATCAACATTTTCCGGTTAGATCCATAATAATAAATGTAGATACACAGATTGCAAAAAATTGTGCGCGTGTATATTAATAATTACCTAATGAAACATCGTAGACACATTAACAAAATCAAACAGAACTAATCCAACTCAGAGGAAACGCTTTGTCTTCGGATAACACAGCACATGTTCGTAATGTTTGATTAATTACTTAGTTGCTTATGGGATAATTGAGGAAGCAATAATTATTGATTACCTCCAACAGTTTAGGATGAAATTGCTTCAGGCAAATGGCAATTTAGCTGCGTCACAGCTCGCTAAATATTTCATTGTAATTGCGGCTTAATGGTTGCGAACTTTTGCCGACTTTCAACCCGGAAAAATTTAATATTCCAAATCCATTTACCAAAGCTGCTGAATTGGAATCGCATGTTTGTTGAACGACAGACCGAATATATAGAATATCGGCAATTCCATTCAATGCAACAAACAGCAAAATAGAAAACGACGCAGTTTATCTCGTATACATTTATACAATTCGTTTCTCCTACACATTCCCGAAGGAAATGCCAGAAAATCTCGGTAGTGAGTGATTTATTCTGTTTCACATTGTTTACGAGATGGTATTTCGCTTCACCTGCTGAACTAATGAAGGCGAGTTCAGAAGTCAACTGTATTGCTTTTTATCTATAACTGGAATGATACCAGTGGCAAGGAAATAAATGTGAAAATCAACCATCAAGTGGCTTTTTCATACAAAATAGGGCGTCCTTATATAGTGCCGAAGCAATGAAAGATTAGGCTAATGCTTCTTCTGCTGCTGATCCGATGTTTTGGTTCAGTAACTTGTTTTATCATTCAGTCAGGAATGCTATATTAAATTTTTCGATATACTCAGGTGTCGGTTTCTTGACTATAATGCTCAGATCACGAAGGTGATTCAGAACTTGAAAAGATTTCTTTGTGCATTAGTTGTTTTTGTAAATCCCTCTCTATACAACACACAACATCAATCATGCGAATGAACAGGCTCATGTGAAACTTTAGCGAAAACATTTAAGTCTCTTAATGTTAAAAAACGCTTTACTCAAGAAATTCAATTGAAAAACTGCCCGAAAATTAACAGACTTTTTCGGTTTCAGGATTCAAAATAAATCCTTCTCTATGGCCCATTTCTACCGATACGGCGCGATTCAAGTCTAAGGCTTTAAATAAAAGGGTCCGCGAAAAAAAAACGTTATTACGCAAACGAGTAACCATTTCGGGCAGTAAAAATTTGACAAATTGCAAGTACTTTATCTGCTGTCAGCTTTTCCACTTATAATTAAAGCCATTTCCAGCACACACACATGCACACAGTAGGCATACAGAGAGGGTAAAGCATTGTGGGAATTACTGGCCGTCTATTTGAACAATTAAACACTTGTTCATCGTCTCTCCTTTCCAACGAGCTTAAATTGTCCGAAATTATCTTGACCGGGTCCAGAGTTTTATCGTCTGTCCTTTGGGCTCATATATTTATATTAAGTCGCAAAATGCGGCAAGTGTGCACAAAGGGACGCACCATTTGGATTATCTGCGTTTAGTCGCACGTTAGCTGTTTGTTCAGAGAAATGGT